CAGTTAAATATCAATTTGGTTATGTTTAACATATATAATTCATAAAATACATGCCTAGATACGTTTAGAGGCATTAATTTTTTTTATTTTTAATATTAAATCTACTAAAAATACGACAGATGAGTCGAAAATTTCGAGATAGAAAGAAACTATTATTTTTTATCTTTCAAAAGCGCCATTGAAATTACAAGACCGGAAAAGGATGCTGAAACCATCCGACTTCCTGTTTAGTTAAAAATTAGGATTTGTAGGCCAAATTTTAATGAAACAAATTTAATTTTTCTATGCTTATTGTAAGCGGGCGGCAGCGGGCGTTACGGGACATTAACGGTGTCGGGCGGCAGCGGGCGTTACGGGACATTAATGGTATAAAATGTAAGGATTTTTGTAGTTAACAAAAACACAAAAGGGAAAATTAATAATATTTTTTCTTAGTCTTGGCTAATGTTTCACAAAATAAATGAGCAGGGGACGAAATAAAAATAAGCTAACAAAACATCTTTGATCCCAAATGTTTAAGATCTTAAGAGAATATTTTAAGAACAAAAAAAATATTTTTCTTAAAATAGAACATCGTGTTTAGAATCAAACCAAGGGACAACGGAAATATACGTTAAAAGAACATTACATGTCGGAGGCATTTATAATAAAGGGAAAAAAATGTAGAAAAAAAAATGAATAAAAATACTAATTTTAAAAAAAAAAGAAACAGCACTATTATATTTAGCACTGTAATGTCGTAGAAAATTATTTTTAAATGCAAGTTTCAGTCAACGACTGGATTCAGTAATGATCTGTGACGTCATCAGGTCGGGTGTCACTAGGTCGTGTGTCACCCTTCTTGGTAGCGGGGGGGGGGGGGGGTCACCCCACCTCCTCCAACAATTAAGCATTTTCGATTTGAAGTAATTCCTTTTTCACAACCATCCTCGTTTTAAAATGGATAGAACATTGTTTTGACATTAAATTGTAAGATTTTTGAGTTGGAGTCTCCCCCTAAGGCTGCGGTTACACTATCCGTCGGCAGACCGAATTTTTTCATCTGACGTCAGGTGTTGTCCAATCTGCCGAAGAAGGGTGCGCCCCAGCGGTTACACTGTAGCCCGTCAGAACGTATGTCTGACCACCGGCAGGCATTGGTTTCAATACAAAAAATCTACTAACAAATGCAGCTTCATTTTTTAGCAGAAAACAATGATGCTTCCAAGATTATTTTGCTTAATGAAAAGGAAAGAGAAAATCATATAGGAAATGCATTTCTCCAAAGAAACGCTTGGCTTTGACATTGAGGCAAGTGTCTTTGTACAGTTAATTCTTATTAAATAAGATATTTTGTTACAGTAAGTTGAGTAAGGCCTATTCTAAATACCATTCATTATTACAATTGTGTGTTCTATGTAATCTATACATTTAAAACAAGTAAAATCTAAGCTATAAATTTGGTTGCAATACCTCAGTAGTGGGGAGTAGATCTAATCTATAACTATAAGGTCTTGATTCTATGTTCTGGCCTGCTTTTAGTGCTAAATTAAAATAATTTCATTTACAGATAGGCCCCTCACTACAACTGTATTGGCCTACTAATATCGAATTGTCCATTCACCTATCACCACAATTATCTATGAGACATTTGATATTATGTGGAGATGCCTCACTAAAAAGCATGTACCATTACCAACAGCAGCAATGTGCCAAGGCTTTTGAAGACTGAAGACACCATCTGAAGTATTATGAAACATGTTGAATTTGATATTTAATTGAAATAAACTTCTTTTTGTTGTTTTGTTTGTTTTATTTATATTATTCATAGATAATAATAAAATCATTGGCCAAATCACCTGATCAATATCAATAATTCCTACTAGTTAGGCCTACTTGACTAACTTTGACTTAGTCCTACTTGCTCCTTATAGTTATAGAACATAGGGCCTCCACCATTTCCACCAGTTAGGCCTACTGGTTAGACTTAATTTTCTAACTCAATGTCAGTTACATGTTAGATTGTTACAAACTAAAATGGTATTGGTTTTTGATCATTTAAAAAGCATAATTCATTGTTTTAATTTATTAAGCAAATCTGTAAAACATGTTTAAGTAGCATGATTAACAGAAATACATCTCATAAGACACAGGCCTCATTGAATTATTAATTTAACTATTTTAACTACTGGTATAGGTAATTCTCCATTACAGTTTAGGCCTGCATTTAAAGAATTCTTAAAAATAATAAAACAGTAAACAACATACACTTTTCAATTAATTTTTTATTCAGGCATAACACAAAATTAATTAATCCTGGGTCAGGATCTTTAGCAATTGCTTCTTCCACAATTTGAATCAATGTCTTCAAAAATAAAATATCTTTTAAACAATGGTTTCACTTGATACTGAATTGAAGTTGAAGGTATCTGTATGCTGCTTATCGTTTGCTTGGAAGCGAAACAATCATTCATAAAGGATAATTGATTATAATATGTCCATGGTTTGTTTGGAGCTATACTGCCAGTTACTCTTTTGTTGCTAATCTTGATATGCTCCTTTCTAAATGTATCAAGCAGGTTTTTCCACTTGGTTTTTGCTTGTGCACCTGAAATGAATTAAATATAAAGATCAGTTTAGACTGATTGTAACTTTAATATGTTGGATACATATAATTTATATATATGCCTACAGGCTATAAATGAAATAGGTTTCTAGATAGAAAAGGGCGGATAAAAAATAGTTAGGACTGTAGTGACTTAAGTAATCAGCTCATTAATTAATTACTACTAGATCTAGATCTAGTGGTCTAGTCCTAGATCCAGACTTTTCTATCATAATTGTCTGGGCCTAAGCCTAGATCTTGATTCCTATAGACAGTTATATCGATCTAGTAATATATAGTAACATTACAGTACAGGAATCTAGATCTATACTCTTAATTTAGATTAGATTAAGGCCTATTAATATTAATAGTATTATTGTACTATTAATATAAATTTTAATTATTAATCTAAAAATAGATTCAATGGAAATAGAATAAATTTAAATATAGGCCTATACTATTATACTTCATACATATTACTATAGATCTACCAATAGTCCTATAGTCCCTATAGATAATAATATACATAGAGATCTAGATCTAAATCTAGAAAGAATCATAGAATACTAGAAAAATAGATCTATTTCATAGATTCTAGATATTAGAAATTAGATAGACTATCAGATAGGCCTAGCCGAGAATGAAAGATTCAATTTTAGAACCAAGAGTAGAGAGTAGAGAGAGTCTACTACTAGAGACTAGAGAATATTAAATTCAATGAGTAGATCTAGAGGTAATCTATCGTTTTGGGTACGTAAAATCGCCCGCGGCTATTAATGTACGAAAACGTTACCTCATTGTCAAGGCTGTAATAGAAGTATATTGTGATATGTTTGTGTCAAATATTATAGATAAATGAATAATAAACCCAAATCAATGGCTAAATATATTAATATAGGCCAGAAATTAACTTTAAACATCAGTGTCTGCAAGCAAGATTTGCTATATAAACAGCAGCCATTTGTAAAATAGAGTGACTTCCGCCTGAATCTCGAGCTATAAGTCTATAAAAATAAAATTTTAACAAGATGGCTGCTATAGTAAATGAGCATGGTTGCATCTGTTGGAAACATCGCTGGTGTTCATTTATTACTGAAAAGTTTTAATTCAATTGTTTAAAAACAGGTACATAAATGAAACAAGGAAACATTTTTGTATTTTTCAAAACATAAATCCTCCTCAAAATGTGAAATAATTATTAAAATGTAAGGAGTCACCTGTTTTTCACATTACTAGTCGCGGGCGATTTTACGTACCCAAAACGATAGATTACCGATCTAGATCCTATTATTTAATAGGCCTAACTAATTATTTTACTAGTTATTACTAGATCTAGATCTAGAATCTATTTTGAGGTTACTTACTTTTCTATTACTTAGTCTTAGCCCTAACTAGACCTAGTACTAGATCTAACCCTTGCCTTAGTCTAATCTTAGAATTTAGAACGATGACGATATCTAGATTCTCTAGATCTAGACTAGATCTAGATTCTGGATTAGATCTAGAGTCTAGAATAGTCTAGATCTAGAATCTAGATCTAGATCTGAATTCTACTTCTTCAGTACTTCGAAGCAAGATCTAGAATCTAGATCTAGATCTAGATTTTCTAGATCTAGTCTAGAATCTAGATATAGATCTAGTCTAGAATCTAGATCTAGACTCACTCTGCACTCTAGATCTAGAAAAAAGAATTAGATTTAATAGTATAGATCTAGTTTTCTAGATCTAGAGTCTAGAATCTAGCTTAGTCTAGAACTAGAAATAATCTAGATATCTAGATCTAGAATCTAGATTCTAGATCTAGATCTACCAGTTGAGTAACTTGAGTGACTTGAGTGAGTTGAGTGAGAGTCGATAACCAAAAAAAAAAAATGTGAATGAATGATAAAAATTAATCAATGAAGTGAATAAGTGAAATAAATTACTTAACTTGTACATCCGAGTTAATCGGCTATTTCAGACCTTTAATTTTCTCTTCTGGATAAGTAAAAATCATCTTCTCTGTGTCAAATACTAGATCTACAACTTTCTGTTCAAACTGAAGTCCTCCATTTTATATTTTGTTTATCCTGCCAGATAAATTTTCATCAGAATGTGTTTTCCGTCAGAACAGAAACAAAATTTTAAGTTCATCATCAGGCGCCTGACGTAGTCTGACGACTCGGACGATGAGTTCGGATCTAGTGTAACCAATAGAACTGGGTTATACTTTTTGTTTGCTTTCCAGTTGTTCGGCCGTGTTGTCAGAAACAGAAATTCGGACTGCCGACGTATAGTGTAACCGCAGCCTAAATGGTGTCACCCCCTAAATGCTGTCATCCCCGAAATGGTGTCACCCGTTGCGAACCGCCCCACCCCCACCCCCACTGTCGTCCTGTTACTTATTCATGGGTATGATATCTATTTTATGGTAAGGATGTACACATTAGCAGAGTTTCTTCCAGGTATCTCTTGGGGGGGGGGGGGGGGGCATACAGCCGCCCCACCCCCCAAATCCCGATGAAAGTCTGCCGCCCCTCCCCTCCAGAACGAAATGTAATTTATATGGACATTTACTTTTACCCGTGTCCGCCCCCCCCCCCCCCCCCCCGGAGAAAAAAGTCTCTAAGAAACAATGCACGTTATGTGTATATATGTGTAGGCCTATGATACTTACTTTATGAGTGAGATACTAAATAACTTTATATATATGAGTGTGATATATTATGTAGGCTATATGGTAATTTCTTTATGGAAATGACATATACTATATGAATATGATAATTTAACTATATGTATATGTTAATTTTTTGGTGTGTATGATCGACCTACCTCAGGGGTCGGCAACCTGCGGCTCGCGAGCCGCGTGCGGCTCTTTTGATATCAAGATGCGGCTCTCCAGCTCCTTGAACAAATACTAATAATCTTAATAAAAAAAAATATTTGAAATAAAAAAAAATGTTAGTGGCTCTTTAAAACCAGGGAAATTTTGAAAATTGTAACTTTTGGCTCTTCCGCTTCAAAAGGTTGCCGACCCCTGACCTACCTATTATGTGTATGATGTTTACATTATGTGTATGTTCTTCCCTCTATGTGATTGCTATCTGTAACACAGGACACATACCACAATGGCTGAATGGGTGTCTGTACAGAAATGGCGCCGGTGTCTATCAGGTCAAGGACACCAACATCCGCCATTTTTTCGACGGCTTCTCCGTCCTCCACAAGTTCACCATCCAGAACGGTCACGTGACCTTCCGGTCCTCCCTGCTGGACACCCACACCCTGCAGCAGGCGATGGGCATCACGAGAACCGTCACCAGCAGGTCTGGCGTGCACAGGGTGTTGGACCCATGCAAGAACATTTTCAAAGAGTAAGTTGCCAGATCAATTTGCTCGATAAACGACAAATTTGTTAAAAGCAATTTTAAAAAAAAAATACAATTAGTGTTTGCCTACATAAAATCAAATCAAATAAGACTAAATGTTTACTTTTTTTTAATTTATCGACGACATGGGGGGGGGGGATAGATTAACTGCGGTTTCCTAGAAAGTGACGTCATCCCATCGACAGCTAATAGACTGAACTCTATGGTGACGATAGAAGTGAATTAATTTAATTATGGGGTTTTAGAAGATTTAAGCTTTTAATTAATTGAATAAATTAGCTTTTGATGGCAGGTGATTTATTGAATGAGTTAAATGTTGTGAAGTGTTGGATTGAATTTAAAATCTAATCTCAAGAAATGTTCATGTTGTTAATTAAAAACAAATTGCAGAACGTCTATTGAATAAAACCATGAAAGTTATTCTTTATAAACTTGTGGTCCATGAAGCAGATGAAGTAGCGATCAACTGTTTCTGTTATCTCGTCATACGGAGTGATAATGTAGCCAACATTATGTCCAGTCGCCTTTACTTTCCTAAATGTTATTCATGTGCCCATTGGGTTGACTGCCCATTGGGTTGACTGCTGATTGGGTTGACCGCCCATTGGGTTGACTGCTGACTGCCCATTAGGTTGACCGCCCATTGGGTTGACTGCTGATTGGGTTGACCGCCCATTGGGTTGACTGCTGACTGCCCATTAGGTTGACCGCCCATTGGGTTGACTGCTGATTGGGTTGACTGCCCATTGGGTTGACTGCTGACTACCCGTTGGGTTGACTGCCTATTGGGTTGACCGCCCATTGGGTTGACTGCTGACTGCCCATTAGGTTGACCGCCCATTGGGTTGACTGCTGACTGCCCATTAGGTTGACCGCCCATTGGGTTGACTGCTGACTGCCCATTAGGTTGACCGCCCATTGGGTTGACTGCTGATTGGGTTGACTGCTGATTGGGTTGACTGCTGTTCACTTTAAAACTTTTTAGTTTTTACTAATTCACATAGACCCTTGTTTAATTATTTTTACATCAAATATTTTTAACCAATTTACATTGACCTTTGTGTAAAGACATGTCAACCTTCATGTCAAGAAATATTTTAACCAGTACACATAGACCTTTCTGAAAAATTTTCCAAGCAGTTCACAAAGATTCTTGTAACCTTTATGTGAAAATCTTCCCTTGTATTAAGACATTCATGAGAAAATCTTCCAAGTAGTTCACATGATTCTTGTATTTATTAAGACCTTTATGTGAAAATCTTCCCTTGTATTAAGACCTTCAAGTGAAAATCTTCCAACCAGTTCACATGATTCTTGTATTAAGACCTTCATGTGAAAATCTTCCCTTGTATTAAGACCTTCATGTGAAAATCTTCCCTTGTATTAAGACCTTCATGTGAAAATCTTCCCTTGTATTAAGACCTTCATGTGAAAATCTTTCCCAGTAGTTCACATGATTCTTGTATTAAGACCTTCATGTGAAAATCTTCCCTTGTATTAAGACCTTCTTATGAAAATCTTCCCTTGTATTAAGACCTTCATGTGAAAATCTTCCCTTGTATTAAGACCTTCATGTGAAAATCTTCCAAGCAGTTCACATAGATTCTTGTATTAAGACCTTCAAGTGAAAATCTTTCCCAGTTCACATAGATTCTTGTATTAAGACCTTCATGTGAAAATCTTTCCCAGTTCACATAGATTCTTGTATTAAGACCTTCGTGTGAAAATCTTCCCTTGTATTAAGACCTTCATGTGAAAATTTTCCAAGCAGTCCACATAGATTCTTGTATTAAGACCTTCATGTGAAAATCTTTCCCAGTTCACATAGATTCTTGTATTAAGACCTTCATGTGAAAATCTTTCCCAGTTCACATAGATTCTTGTATTAAGACCTTCATGTGAAAATCTTCCCCAGTTCACATAGATTCTTGTATTAAGACCTTCATGTGAAAATCTTCCCTTGTATTAAGACCTTCATGTGAAAATCTTCCCTTGTATTAAGACCTTCATGTGAAAATCTTCCCTTGTATTAAGACCTTCATGTGAAAATCTTCCCTTGTATTAAGACCTTCATGTGAAAATCTTTCCCAGTAGTTCACATGATTCTTGTATTAAGACCTTCATGTGAAAATCTTCCCTTGTATTAAGACCTTCTTATGAAAATCTTCCCTTGTATTAAGACCTTCATGTAAAAATCTTCCAAGCAGTTCACATAGATTCTTGTATTAAGACCTTCATGTGAAAATCTTCCCTTGTATTAAGACCTTCATGTGAAAATCTTCCAAGCAGTCCACATAGATTCTTGTATTAAGACCTTCATGTGAAAATCTTTCCCAGTTCACATAGATTCTTGTATTAAGACCTTCATGTGAAAATCTTTCCCAGTTCACATAGATTCTTGTATTAAGACCTTCATGTGAAAATCTTCCCCAGTTTACATAGATTCTTGTATTAAGACCTTCATGTGAAAATCTTCCCTTGTATTAAGACCTTCATGTGAAAATCTTCCCTTGTATTAAGACCTTCATGTGAAAATCTTCCCTTGTATTAAGACCTTCATGTGAAAATCTTCCCTTGTATTAAGACCTTCATGTGAAAATCTTCCCTTGTATTAAGACCTTCTTATGAAAATCTTCCCTTGTATTAAGACCTTCATGTGAAAATCTTTCCCAGTTCACATAGATTCTTGTATTAAGACCTTCATGTGAAAATCTTTCCCAGTTCACATAGATTCTTGTATTAAGACCTTCATGTGAAAATCTTCCCTTGTATTAAGACCTTCATGTGAAAATCTTCCAAGCAGTCCACATAGATTCTTGTATTAAGACCTTCATGTGAAAATCTTTCCCAGTTCACATAGATTCTTGTATTAAGACCTTCATGTGAAAATCTTTCCCAGTTCACATAGATTCTTGTATTAAGACCTTCATGTAAAAATCTTCCCCATTTTACATAGATTCTTGTATTAAGACCTTCATGTGAAAATCTTCCCTTGTATTAAGACCTTCATGTGAAAATCTTTCCCAGTTCACATAGATTCTTGTATTAAGACCTTCATGTGAAAATCTTCCCTTGTATTAAGACCTTCATGTGAAAATCTTCCAAGCAGTCCACATAGATTCTTGTATTAAGACCTTCATGTGAAAATCTTTCCCAGTTCACATAGATTCTTGTATTAAGACCTTCATGTGAAAATCTTTCCCAGTTCACATAGATTCTTGTATTAAGACCTTCATGTGAAAATCTTCCCCAGTTCACATAGATTCTTGTATTAAGACCTTCATGTGAAAATCTTCCCTTGTATTAAGACCTTCATGTGAAAATCTTCCCTTGTATTAAGACCTTCATGTGAAAATCTTCCCTTGTATTAAGACCTTCATGTGAAAATCTTCCCTTGTACTAAGACCTTCATGTGAAAATCTTCCCTTGTACTAAGACCTTCATGTGAAAATCTTCCCTTGTATTAAGACCTTCATGTGAAAATCTTCCCTTGTATTAAGACCTTCATGTGAAAATCTTCCCTTGTATTAAGACCTTCATGTGAAAATCTTCCCTTGTATTAAGACCTTCATGTGAAAATCTTCCCTTGTATTAAGACCTTCATGTGAAAATCTTCCCTTGTATTAAGACCTTCATGTGAAAATCTTCCCTTGTATTAAGACATTCATGTGAAAATCTTCCAAGTAGTTCACATGATTCTTGTATTTATTAAGACCTTTATGTGAAAATCTTCCCTTGTATTAAGACCTTCAAGTGAAAATCTTCCAACCAGTTCACATGATTCTTGTATTAAGACCTTCATGTGAAAATCTTCCCTTGTATTAAGACCTTCATGTGAAAATCTTCCCTTGTATTAAGACCTTCATGTGAAAATCTTCCCTTGTATTAAGACCTTCATGTGAAAATCTTTCCCAGTAGTTCACATGATTCTTGTATTAAGACCTTCATGTGAAAATCTTCCCTTGTATTAAGACCTTCTTATGAAAATCTTCCCTTGTATTAAGACCTTCATGTGAAAATCTTCCCTTGTATTAAGACCTTCATGTGAAAATCTTCCAAGCAGTTCACATAGATTCTTGTATTAAGACCTTCAAGTGAAAATCTTTCCCAGTTCACATAGATTCTTGTATTAAGACCTTCATGTGAAAATCTTTCCCAGTTCACATAGATTCTTGTATTAAGACCTTCATGTGAAAATCTTCCCTTGTATTAAGACCTTCATGTGAAAATCTTCCAAGCAGTCCACATAGATTCTTGTATTAAGACCTTCATGTGAAAATCTTTCCCAGTTCACATAGATTCTTGTATTAAGACCTTCATGTGAAAATCTTTCCCAGTTCACATAGATTCTTAAATTAAGACCTTCATGTGAAAATCTTCCCCAGTTTACATAGATTCTTGTATTAAGACCTTCATGTGAAAATCTTCCCTTGTATTAAGACCTTCATGTGAAAATCTTCCCTTGTATTAAGACCTTCATGTGAAAATCTTCCCTTGTATTAAGACCTTCATGTGAAAATCTTCCCTTGTATTAAGACCTTCATGTGAAAATCTTTCCCAGTAGTTCACATAATTCTTGTATTAAGACCTTCATGTGAAAATCTTCCCTTGTATTAAGACCTTCTTATGAAAATCTTCCCTTGTATTAAGACCTTCATGTGAAAATCTTCCAAGCAGTTCACATAGATTCTTGTATTAAGACCTTCATGTGAAAATCTTCCCTTGTATTAAGACCTGCATGTGAAAATCTTCCAAGCAGTCCACATAGATTCTTGTATTAAGACCTTCATGTGAAAATCTTTCCCAGTTCACATAGATTCTTGTATTAAGACCTTCATGTGAAAATCTTTCCCAGTTCACATAGATTCTTGTATTAAGACCTTCATGTAAAAATCTTCCCCAGTTTACATAGATTCTTGTATTAAGACCTTCATGCGAAAATCTTCCCTTGTATTAAGACCTTCATGTGAAAATCTTCCCTTGTA